CCCAGAAAAGGCTCAAACTTCACTGTGCAAGAAGAAGAAGCTTTATGGTCATTGTACAGAAAATACAATGAAATTTCGTTTGACATCATCTTTGTAGCAGCTAATATGGTCACGGTCTAAGGTAAAAAAAAAAAGTGAAAAAGTGATATCAATAATAAAATAGCAATAAAATAAATACTCAATTTACTTATTTATTATCTTTGTTATTCTTTTTGTGGCTGTTTGACATCATTTTCTGGTCAGTTTGTGAATCTTTGTGATAATTTTTCATGTCTGTGGTCTTTTTGTGTAACTTTGTGTCTGTGTGGTCAGTCTGTGCATCTATCTACAGTCATCGTTTGCCTCTATAGCAGTGGTCTCCAACCTTTTCAAGCCCCAGATCCCTGATCTCCACCTTGGTGAGAGGAAAGATCTACCTATTGAAGCATTGAATGAAAAAGACAGCCCAGATTGTACTTCCAACCGGAGTCATAACATTAGAAAAGTCCACGACTTTCCCCACCAAGGCCTGCTGGTGAATGATGCAGTGGTAATTCACGAAGTCAGGAAAATCATGGTCATTTCGGCACAGTAAGATCAGGAGACAGTAACTTTTAGGGAATAGTCAGCAGGGAGAAGTTTCCCCTCCTCACCTCATGCGCACTAAAAGTGATTCAGTCAGCCTGGGGCCAATTAAGGTCTACCTGTGGTCATAGTGTGCCTCTTTACATCTCTTAACTGTGGTTGTTTTGTGTCTCTTTGTAGTTGTGAGTGACTTTCTGATATTAAATGGTAACAGTCAGTGTAAACAGAGGCAGCAGAGGGTGTCTGACACATTCGACTACTTCAGCCTCTAGTCCTGTATCCATCAGGCCTGTTCACTGATCCATTCTTATTTGTGATTTTAAAATGTCTGCTTTTATCACAAACTCTCCTGCGGAATATAAGCAGAACTGTGGGAACACCGGAAACACTGCAGTCTTCATTGTGGACAAAAGAGTTCAGTGATAGATGCCATGAGAGGAGGATCAGGCTGCAGCTGGCAGATTATCTCCTCTTATAACAAACAGTCCTGCTGATCGACAGCAGGAGGAACGAGTACAATTTAACAAGAACGGCACTAAAAGAATAAATATATTTGTGGCCAATTCACATCTGTACTGACATGGTTTGCCACATTTTATCACTATCTGTGCTGCAGCAACACAAAAACAAGTTAGAAACAACACAATCCATGATGCCACTTTACTTCCTCCCATTGATTAGAAAGTCATGTTCTCAATTACCAACCCTAAAATACTTATTCATATAAAGTATTACATCCCATCCATCCATTATCTATCACTGCTTAATTCTCATTAGGGTCGTGGGGGGCTGGAGCCTATCCCAGCCGACTTAGGGTGAAGCCAGGGGACACCCTGGACAGGTCACCAGTCTATCACAGGGCCACACTTAGAGACAGACAACCAAGCACATTCACATTCACACCTACGGACAATTTAGAATCACCAATTAACCTCAACATGTTTTTGGACTGTGTGGGAGGAAGCCAGAGAACCCACACTGCACGGGGAGAACATGCAAACTCCATGCAGAAAGATCCCAGGTGTCCTCACCAGGATGCGAACCAGCGACCTTCTTGCTGTGAGGCTACAGTGCTAACCACCGATCCGCCTTGCAGCCCTAACGTATTACACAAAGCATAAAATAACCCTTAATAAGTGTTGATTTACAGAGATTTTAGAATAACTGAACCAACCACTCTGACCTCTACCACATAACTGCTGCTTGCTGCATGTTTTTTGTATTTTACCATTCTGCGTAAACTCCAGAGACTTTTGCAGTGAAAATCCAGGTAATCAGTATCTTTAGAAACAACCAAATCAGCTAACAGCCACATTAACTGAAGGTATCTTCATGTGACATGATTGGCTGATTGGATAATGACATGAATAATCAGCTGTTCCTAACAAAGTGCTTAAGTTTGAGCAAAGCTGCCAGTCAAAACTAGAGTTTAATTCTTCAGCAAAGCATTTAATGTAAAATGGAACCAAAAATCCCTTAAGTAGGTGACTCAGAGAGAGAAATATAAAAATGCAGTGATCTTGACTCATTTGACTTATTGCACAGAAGAAACCGCCTTCAGATGTTGGATGACGTGCTGTGAGTAAAACCCATTTAAAGTTTTTATCTCTTTGTTAAAGTTTATTTCCAGAGTCAGGCTGTGCAGCAGTTTAGACCGACTGATAATGATGACGGTCTGGGTGAGCTGCTGTAATACGTCCAGTACAAGTTTAAAATTGACATTTTCATTTTCTTTTTTTTTTACAGGAGTCACATATGAAATCATGAAAACTGATCACAAATCAATTCATCACATCAAATCAGGAAGAAACAAGATGTTGTTGGTGAACAACTCAATCTCTGTGGGAAATATTGGTGAATCCAATACGACTAAATCAACACGACTTCAATTAAAATCAAGGAAATAAATTAAAATGACAGTATAACAGTTACATTCAGTAACACATCCTGACAACAGATCTGGTACAAGATTCGTGACTCTTCACATGCACCTCCACCACATGACTTACTGTACTTTAACCCAGCAGTGGGCCGTGTAGCCAAGAGGTCATATGACAATCAGTATCTCGCTCTATGACTTGAATTACAATCCTCCCTGCAGATTTAGCTGAACTCCTCTGATTACACGATTAGTTGTGCATACGGCTGCCTGGATACAAAGCCTCTCACGTCAGCTCAAGACTTAAGAACCAACTCAAACATCACTGTATGCTGTTTTTGCACTCAAGTGGGGAAGCCCACTTTGGCGCTTGTTGAGTTTCCAGCCTACACAAGAAGCTGGATATTTACAGAGTTCCTGTCAGGAGAAATGACACTTTAACATGATTCCAGAGAGTTGTCTAAACAGTAGTGGCAGTTTCCGACATGAAACATTTATGAATAGACATTATCACTGTGACAATATGCTGTCAGATGTTAGTTTCCCTTTTTTGGAAACACACCCAGAATCTGAAGAAGAGAATGTGATTAACAGAGAAAGTCAATAACCATCACTGTGATACTTATTTCTAACTGGAGTTTTAGGGTTTGTTGAGCTGGCTAACACAAACAAAGCCAGGCTTTGTCAAACTTGCATTGTAGTACATCTGTCAGGTGGAATTCTTTATTTAATTACATAATTTTATTATTCTTCATGAATCAAATTTACATCATCATGACATAAAATCACCCTCGCCTGCTCACTTCACTCATCCAGTAGGTTTAACCAAGTATTACACCTGTTCATGAACTGATCCTGATAACATGATGACATATCCTCTGTAGAACTCCACTGTTGTCTAAAAATATTGAAACAATTGGTTGAAATGTACTTTATTATTACCATGAGCAGACATTCACACTGCAGTTTATTTTGACTTTTTTACTGTCCAGCTGGAGGATATTAAACTTTAAATTGGTTACTACCAGTGTCTGTCTGGCTACTTCCTCCAGTCTGCTAAAAACTACAGCAGTTTAAGGAAATGACTTCACTTTTAAAAAGTTGAGCAACGTCTGTGACCCATTTTTGAACATCAGAAGGAAGCAGTGGACAGTTTGCATCTTCTCGAGGGATTAGATATGCAGGCAAGAGAAAGCCTGCTGACTTTAGATAGATTTCCATCAATAAATGAAATATAACAACATGGTATTATAATTACAACTTCTGGGATTCAGAAATGTGGAGTCCCACTAGGTGGGGCCTCATATTCAGAAATGAAAGAAGCCCTGTTCTGTTTTCCTTCCTGCAGACAAAGACACATCTGACAAACAAACAACATGGTAACGTAGGTCTGAAAAGACATTTACAGGTACTTCTGAGAAAAATATCATACTTCTACATATAGAGTACTTTATTAGGAAAACCTGTGCAATCTGATCCAGACCAATGCAGCAGTTCTGCCATAAATACTACTTTTATTAAGTTTCTACATTTCCAGCTTTTGTTGGTGCTGTCTGAAAGAATTTTAGATGTATGAAAAGACAAAATAATAAAAAAGCACGTCATAATTATGAGTTAAGGCCACCAATTTTCTTCTGTGAATAAAATGATCTTCTGCAGAGGAACATTTTGTTACAGTGAATACTTTCACATTTATCTACCAATACTTTCATACTATGTTCATGTTTTTATGTGACTAAATCAAGCAAAAATGTGAATATAGGATTTTTACAGTATCTAAAGGATGTGAATGCATATATAGTACTTTGTGCAATTTAGGGCTGCAACTAACTGTTATTGTCATTGTCAATTAGTCTGTCGATTTCCTTCGTGATTTTATTGATTTGTTGTTTGGTCTATAATTCTGTTCTCTATTATTCATTATTCTGTATAAAAGTCCAATTCTACACACTGTGTAACATCCATGTGTAAATTCACCATGTGTCATCTGTACATGTGACATGCATACAAAGTCTTTTTTATATCTTTATTTCTAACCTTATTCTACTTTTGCATTTCTTGTCTCACTTCTTCTTCTTCCTCCCTCATTTGTATCTAGCTGCTGTACCATGTAAATCTCTCTGGTGAGGGATCAATAAAGTTAATCTTATCTTAAAATGCCAGAAAAATGGCGGAAAATGTCAAAGTCCACAATGACAAATGTCTTGTTTTGACCGCAATCCAAAGATATTGAGCTTACGGTTATAGAGGAGGGGGGAAAAAAGACAGAATATTCACATTTAGGAAGCTGGAATAAAGAATTTTGATTGCTTTTTCTTAAAAATTACTGAAATGTAATGGGATAATGTTTTTTTGTTTTTTTTTTAGCATTTACTCCATAACATGAGTAAGTGTAGCACCAGTATTTGTAACAGCAGGAGGTGCGTAACAATAGCAGTGTTGCACAACTGTGAGACATGAATGAGATTTCTGTTGCCTAAAGAGCATTTTGTCATTTTGTACGTCATCAGAAGTGCTGCAAGCTCATCCTGTTGAGTGAACTCGGAGCGTTCAGCGTTTCAGAATGGCAGCGTCGGCCCTTTTCTCCCTCTGACTGTCACTTTGTTTCCTGTACAGCCGTCAGTCGCTCCAACAACAACAACATGGCCATACGCAGAAAAGACAGCTTCCTCTGGGGGAAAGGTACGCTTATTAGTCCTTCACTTTTAATCTTTATTTCACATTGTAATGAGCTGATGCAGTTAGAAAACAAAAAGCAAGGGTGATTTAGAGCATTACTATTGTGTGCTGCAGTGTACAAATTACTGCTGTTGACTGTCTTCATGCGTGCTTTGCTCTGATATGGAAATATAACGCATATTACCGCTCTTTTATTAAAACTTTGTATCACTCAAGACCTGTGACACATGACAATCTGTTTATCTGACACTGCAATTTATTGAGCTCCAATTCCACAAATTAAGGTGAATTGTAACGCACTCGAGCTCAACCTGATTCCTTAAGAAGAGAGAAGGAAGCAGCTATTTTCAGGCCTGGTTCTTTCTCTTATTCACTGACCACTTTTCTAAGCGCTGAAGGAAAAAAGCTGTGATGTATGTCGGCCTGTGAGAGAGTGTAGGCGAGAGGGAGGTTGTCAAGTCGGTCCACAGTGCTGCATGCCTGCTGAATGTTTCATCAAGTGTATGCCACCATCTCTAACTTTAACTGTCCCACTTTCTGTCGCCCAACAGTTCCACCTAAACTCCCCCCGGCAGAAAGCAGGCGGGACGACACCGTCAAGATCGAGCTGCTGGATGACATTCAGGTACTGTGTTGCATTCATGCCTCCAAGGTCCTTCATTAAAAGCCCTCATTATTCTCCTGCGAGCTCCCACCCCTGGCTGCCTTAGCAGAGTTTTTCACAGCGCACAAAAGGCGTTTTCATTCACCAACTTTTAATTGAGATACGAAGGATTTGAAGGTTATTTTATAACAGCAGCGGGCAAATTGGCCCTGAGTCATTGATTCTGCGAGTGTCAGTGATGTAATACCAAGCCTTGTGCCCTCGCTAGCATCACAGCTGTCTTTCTCCACTCTTCTACAGAAGCTGAGGTTGGAGATCAATCACGGCATGGCAGAAATCCACAGCCCTGAACCTAAGGAGCACAAGTAAGTATGAGCACATTGTTACAGCAGCTCCTCTGAGTCAGCGCAGCCTCTTCCTCTTATTTACATGACACTTTGCTACAGTTTAGCCTCCCACACCACATGTAACTCTTAGTTTAACAAAAATCATGCAATCAGCTTTATCGAAACAGTTGGTAGCTTTGGTCTACATTCAAAATAGTGTCTCGTAGATGATGCCTCTGCATTTGGAAGTACCTGTAAACCTGCTTTTGAAACACTTCTACCTGACATTTAAAAACCTTTTGTACATAATGTGCTTTATTTAGAGCAGCTGTTCCCAATTTTTTTTCCCCAAGTACCTCTGATTAATGCTGCCATTTTTCAAGCTTTTATCAAGTTCTTTTAACACACTATTACTTGTAGTTAACTATTCCCACTATTACTTACAGCTAAAGAGTCCAACTGTTACTTATAGCTAACTATTTTAACTGTTACTTGTAGGTAGCTATCTAATATTTTTCATAATCGATGGCATTACATCAACATTTGTTTTTTAAACTTCAATTCATTGTAACATTGGTTTTTCTTCTATGTCACTGCCTAATTGTTGCATCTTGATGTCAGTCGTCTTTAGCTTCAGTCACTGGTCAGCTGCACTTAGTGCTACATTTTCAGGCAATGGTTTGAGCAAGTCAGTGAAATGTAAAATTTTAACTTAATTACCTTAATTAAAATGGTTATTGTATTTTTCTGGGGTTAAAATTAGTCATTTACATTTAGCTACTTATTTCAATTGTTATTTTTAGCCATTAATTCCAAATACTTTCGCCATGTTTATCCTTTATTTTTAGTCAAATGTTTGTCAGTGAACTGCAGCTCTGGTTGTACAAAAGCACCGTCACCGAACTTTGTCACAGTCAGAGAATTACAGAGAAAATAATGTTGTGACATTGTGTGTGCACAGGGCTGTCCAACTCCATTTTTGAGCTTCCTGTTGCCTTTGTCGCTGCATTTAGAAGGCGATAATGTGAGTGGTGTGACACCGCATTCGGCTGCAACTGTGTTACTGGCAATGTCAACCAGAGTTTCTCAGCAGTGAACCCACTACACCCCAACACCTACTACATCATATACCCCTGATCATGGACATGATGGTCTGAGGAGTTTATTTAAGTAATTTATTATTGACTGAAATATTTTTGATATTTCGTCCACCGATTAATCACCAAGTCATCTTATTCTGATCCAACTACTGAGGAAAAATGGCAGGAAAGCTACTTAGTCTTAGGGTGCATTTTTAGGTTAAGTAACTTTATTTATTGCTGCGTGTTATGCATCTAAATATATCCAACCATTACCCTACAAGCTAATACTCTATGAATGAGATCCAGGCCACAGTCTATATGTACTAATACAAACCACAACACAGCCAAAACAGTTGCATGTAAAATAGAGCATCACACTCTATATGCATTATTGGATTGAAACCTATTAGACAGCTGATCTTCAACAAAAACAATGCACATGTACACCACTGTACCCAACAAGTTACTGCAGCATCATCACCAGCTCTTGCCTAATGGCACTTAGCTACCAGATTGCACACAACAAGGCATAAAAACACTGGCACCAGCCACTGACCCAACTTTAACAAATAGCCACACTGAAACCTTGAGCAATTCCACGTGTAATCAAATACTTCAGTCTATAGTATTGTTGCCAGTATTTGGGCTGTATGTGTTTAGTATGTCCAATATCCTGTCATACTCCACTCTGGTGCAACATCACATGTATTCAAACATGTATATTATGAAAATTTTGCTTTTAATTTTATTTTTAATTCTCTTTTGTTGCAGTAAAAATGTTGTGAAGAACAGAAGATTCCTGCGTGGAAAAAAGAAATTTAACATGGACCCCAAAACTGTGAGTTTACATCCTTTTTTTCTTTTTTTTTGGCGTAAATGAACAAAAATATAGGATTCACTGATTAGAAATCCAGACAAAATCATTCGTTTGGTCGCCATAGTTAGACTTTCCTCTCTTGAAAAAAAAACACTTTGTTTGCACAAGCATTGAGACATTTTCCTGCTAAGTGACCTCAGGTGGTCGTTAAATCAGAAAATGTCCTGAAATGGCATTTTGTTTTCTTTCAACTGGCAGCACCCTCTGGTGGCTTTGGTAAATATGATGAGAGAACAGAAAGAAGTGAGGTGATGTTGTTATAAAGCCTCAAAGTCTACTGAGAGAGGAGATTGGGGTGGGTGGATGGGTCAACAAAACGTTGGAATTTAAGGGGACTTGTTTCCTGAATCAAACTGCAAGCTAGTGTTTCTTT